TTCTCTTCTCCAATGTTTCTAGGTCAGAAGCAGATTCATTCCTTTTCTCTAAAGTGATGTTGATTTCTGTGTAGAGAAATGCTTCCTGTAGCTTAGGCTTGCCTCATGCTATGTAATTGAGAATTGCTTTGAATACCTAATGCTGCCTCTGCTGCCCATTGTTAGGAAGACAGTCCTGCACCTCCTTCCAGGCTGGGCCTTGACTGGTCAGTGAAAAGGAAAAATAGATCAGTTAAGGAGTGACCTCCAATTTCTCTGGCTTTCATGGAAACTTGTAAATGAAGAGGGACCTGGGCAAGAATTGAGTTCATTGACCAACTGTGAAACTGGTGGAGTCACAGTGCAGAAAGGGAGGGTCAAGAAGGAGGGCCAGAGCTTTCCTGCTTTACAGTAGTTGAGATTATCAATGTGGAATTATGTAACTAATTTTAGATGATCCATAAATGTCCTTATTGCTGATTTCTTGGGGTTCACAGATCAGGGCAATCAAGAATGTGGATAAAGGTCTGAATCCAAATTGCTATAGTTAAAGTAGTTCAACCAAAATAGAAGATTTGGGTAAAATGGTGTGGCCCTGCCTAACAGGACTGATGTGCTCTAATACAAATCCCTAGTCTCTGGAGCACTGTTTCAACTTTTCAATACTTTTTGAAATTATAACTACATCTTATTCACATTCTCTTTACTGCCTCCAAGCCCTACAATGACCCCTTATTGTTTTCTAATTCATGGTCTGTTTTTCTTTAACAACAGTTACTGTGTGAATGTGGCCTATGTTTTCAGGATTTCCCAACTATGAGGCAATGGGTTCACTGCACTGGACATTAAGTGTGTAAAGGAATGAGGACATAAAGGTCCCTGTGCTTTGGATGAGGAACAGGATGTGCTCTAGGAGAGTGGAAGAATGTCTACCAAAATGCAAGCTATCTAGGCTAGGCCCTGCCTTGTCTGCTGGTCTGGAAGGACAGAGCTGGAAGGACTGTGCTGTCTGAGTCATTTGATCTCTGATGGCCCAGTAGGGGAGATGTTAATATTCTGTGGCCCATCTGAGTGGCCCTAGCCAATGAGGGATTCTGGGGAAGCTTAGCAATCAGGGGTACTAGTAGCAGGTAGCTTGTGGATTCTTTCTAAGATTCTTTACTGCTTCTGCTGTAGGTAGTTGTAAGGAAGACTACAAGCCATGCCAGGGTAAGTGTAGGGTGTTCAGAGGAGGTCTGCTGAACTGTCATTTGTGCTGGGATTTGGATGGCCCATGTGCTAGACTATGTTTCTGTTCCTCCATGTGGTGACCTGGCGATGGCCCTTCTCCTCTGAGTCTCCCTGTGTATGGGTTTCCTGGGGAGGGGGAGACTCTGCAGCCTTGGCATGGGAGGATATGATGCTTGTAATGTCACTGTCCAGTGTGCACACCCAGGTTTTGCTTTTGGTGTGCAGTGGGAAGACAGATTGGCAAATTGAAGGTCTGGTTTCTAGAAGTTCTGAATATTGCATTCCATTTTCAAGTTTTTCTCATATAAGTTATATATAGTTTAGAAACTGGTAGAAAGATGGTGATGTGGATTTTCTTTTAGCAATACATAATTAGAATGCTTTTAATGTTCTGCTTCCACCAGCCACAATGGTATGATTCAGTGCAGTTTAGTTCCAGGGAACAAAAGGAGTTTCTGAGCTGCAGAGGTTTCTCAGGTGTGCATGGTGTTGGGTAGGTAGATAGATCAGATGCCACATCTTTGCTGTTATCCATGTGGCAGGAAGCAGTTTTAAATTATTCTTCTATTTTTTAGGATTGGCATCAGTGGGGCTTCGTTTACCTGAAACCCTAAGGGCGGCATAAGGGGCCGCAGAGCCATAGCAAGAGATGACCTCCATTTGCAGAGGGAGCTCTAGATCATGGGGCTTCCGTCTTTGGAAGTATTATCAGTAGCTGGAGGGTCAGAGCCGACAGTTTCAGGGTCACTTTGAGTTAATATTGTGAAAGTTGTGAAGTCTGTGTTTATTTAATTTCTATACACATAGAATCATAGGTAGCTGGGTAACATTGGTCAAGATCACACTTTTCTGGCTAAGTTTCTTTTGTTCTTTTGATTAAAGGTGAGTATATTTTCCTGCCTTTGTTCTTGGCTTTTTCTCCCTATCTGCTTTATACTTTCACAAATATTGTACACATTCTTGACTGTTGTGTCTTTGTGATAAGTATAGAAGTCATATTAAGCTAATCTGTATACTGTTTTTTCATAATCACATTGTAAAGTCTGAGTGTTTCCACTGTGAATGTAGGTTTGTAATCATCTTTCCTGTTATAAATTGTTGGACATTGTCATTGGATTGTATTCATTTTATGGTGCAAATTTACCATATACAACATCTTAATTTTGATGCATCATGTTCCCAGGGATCATGTATTTACTTCTTTACTTCTTTAGGTTTCATTGTTCTTGTTGTTATTAGTCTGTGGAAGACTTGGTTTATTGGATAAAAGATATTATGGGTCTTGGCAGGTGGCTCAGCACATATTCTTCTGGGGGATGATCTGAGTTCAGATACCTACACTCATGTTGGGAGGCTCATAATTACCTACTATTCCAGATCCAGGAGATCTGACACTCTCTTTTCTTGTATGCC